AAGTACAAGCTAAATCCGTCTCTCTTTCCGCCCAATCAACTTCCACTCCTTCAACAGCTTCACTCTTCCTACCTTGGAACAATAATTCTCATTACAAGTAACAACAATAATACTGAGAATCCGTTAATCCTCAATTACAACGATTTTCTATCAACAAATGAAAAAAACAAAAAAAAAGTTCGATTCTTTATTAATCATCTTGAATCATCATCTCACTTACGAACTTGTTCCTTTCGAATCGTAAAATTTTTCTTTCTTTACTTACAAGCATTTGTTCAAGATTGGAAAAGGAAATTTTCTATTTCATTCTCTTTTTCCTCTCTTTCATCTCTAGTTTTCTATCTGAACTGTTGATTTCATGTAGAGTTTTGTATCATCGTATTACTGTTGATCTCAACACTTTTCTTTTGATAAAACTGTGAACTTTGAATTCTGTGAATTTCTTGAAAAGGAAAATGAATTATATTCTTGTTGAGAATGTAAAAAGAAACAATATCAGAATAAAAGATAGAAACTGAATTTCGCAAGTCAATGAAAATATTCAACAAACTTCATGAGATTTGTAGACATCATCAATCATCATGAAAATCACCTCGGTGATTTACAATTGTTTAGTTATAAGAGCAAAGATATTTACATGGTACCAGTAGGAACATGAAAAAAGTCTCAAGAAAATATAACATTTTTAATTCCAAGTGGAAAATAATCATTTCCAATGTTTCAATCAAATTCATGGTAAAAGTTCAAGGTGAACACTTATGTATTATATTATTCTGTAGACATGAAAAAAATATGACAGGAAAAATCACCATGAAAATTATTCACACTTTAAGAATATTTATATTTTTACAATTCTGATTCATTTCTAATAGAAAAAAAATCAGATGATTATTTTTAATATCCTTTTAATGATAGTTTACATGATATTATTAACTTGAATCTGAAAATTCAGGTGAAATTTCATCTACTGAAGGCAACAAGATAAATTGCGGAATAATAATCAGAGTAATATCTTCAAAATGAGCATGATGATGATTGAGTAAGTTCATGCTTTTTGCATGAAGATGAAGATGCAATTTGGCATGATTCAAAATGCTCAAGTTCAGTTTCTATTACATGAGGTTCCATGTATCAACTGAACGTTTCCTAATATCAACACCAAGACTACCATTAACTACTCATTTCAATGAAATTTTATTACTTTTACCTTTTCGTTTCTTGTGAATATATAAACTGGAAGAAAAAGGTTCAACTGAACATATATTCATTGGAAGCTGGAAATGTTTCATATACATAAAAGAGCAATATTCATGGATGAACTCGGGTGAACAATAAAAAAAGTTAAAAGAAATCAAATCAAGTGATGAATACATAAGGATGAATAAGACATGATGTGGATGAAAAGAATGATAGAAAGATAATAATGATAATATTACTAATAATTGGGTAAAGAGTAAAATGTTAACTTAACGATGTCAAGAAATGTTACACAATGAAAACGAATCCACCCCATTTTCATTTCTATCTTTCTGCCACCCTGTTCATAATTCTGACATGATTTCCTTCAGATTCTACAGAATTTATTCCGCATCTTCTTTTACTTTTTCATAATTTTCTTTCTGTTTCGTCTCTACTCATTCCCTGGAGCATTATATCATCAACTTATATCTTATGGCCCTTGTCTTTCTTGTAATACTTTTTATCTTTTTATCATCATCTCTCTTCATCTTCACCATCACCAGAACTCAAAAGTCACACAGAATCTTCAATAAAAAGATAGTCTTTTTTTCTCATATTCTTTTTTGTCCCTTTCTCCTTCCTTCCCTTGCCCATCCCTCTGAATAGAATTGTTTATTTGATTTTCTTCTTGTTATTATATTTTATTTTGTTTTTTCTCTCAATCATAACCAGAACTTTTTTTCATCTTGAATTTATCGAAATTTTCTCCACATACCAACATTTCAAACTCCAATCTTCTTTCAGTCTATGTATCAGTATTTGTTTAGCAGACATGAGAAATTCGTGCAGTTACAATGTCCATTTACCTGCTCGATCAAATTACTCTTGATATCTTATGTTTACCTTTAAGAAAAAATCAAAGTGTAGACTCTAATGGTGATGATGAAATTTATCTGATTACTTGTTGAAGTTTCAGCTTCTCGATTTTATCTACTTATTGATTCATCGTCGTGAAAAATTTATACTCACCATTAGCCTTTCATACCTTTACAAACACAAGAAGAAGTCATCATTAACTTCATAGATATTACCACTTACTGTCCAGTATATTTTTATATTCTCTATGTTGATTCCCAAAACTGACCAACGAATACCTTTCTTGTTGATTTATCACCTTACATCATTAAACTGACCAAACAATAAAGGGAAAAAAACTACAACAATCACCAAGAAAGATTATGACTTAATAATAATCTAAAGCTAGGCAATTGATTAGTTTGGTAATTGCTTGGATAATATCTTACACCTTTCAAGATGAAAACGAAAATGTCAACATGAACATTTCTCCAATCATCTGAAATAATATGATAATTACAATAATCTGTTGTGGTCAGTTGATAATATTAATGATCTATCCTAACCTAATCATGGTGATATCATGGTTATTATCCTATTATACTGAATGGTGAAAATATTATTCGCATGAAATTTCATCCAACTTTTCCTTAGGTTAATCAAAATGTTTGTTTGTTTTGATTTATATCGGATGAAAGAGATTAACTTGGATTAGGTGAATTTTGTGTTAATCAGAGGAAAATGTTTACTTATTGACTTATATTTCAACAACTTTATCGTTTTTTATCAAGTTTCGAGTTGTTGTTGTTTCTATTATTTTCTCAATATATTCTCTCTGGTGAAAATTATTGCAAATTCTTGTAGCTTCATGATGTTTATCTCTGATTACATCGTAGAGAAAAAAGTAGAGAATGATATTCGAATCACTGTAAACATAGCAGAACCGAATAGAGATTAAATGTAAATGTTGATCCATTAAAACATGGAAAGAAATCAACATAAGCTTTTGTCTTGTTCTCCCTTTTTCAATCCTAATCCTTTAACACTTTTGAGAACAACAACTTCCTATGGGAATTATTAAATCGACAAAAAGATAAACAGACAAAATTCAAACTGAGAATGGAATTGTTGTTTCGATAAATATTTTCTCTCTCCCTCTTTCCTTCTTTGTTCGATTAATATTAGGTTCAAGGTTTCGATTTCACTTGCACCAGAGTATGCGGATACCTTTAATGTGAAAGAAAAAAAAAGTTCAGCATTTTCTATGGATAAAAAACTCCAAGTCACAATGATGGATTATCAATGTACTTTAGGGACTATCGAAAAGGGTTTTTTATTACCACCAACAATCATTGTTTACTATTCTAATCTTGTGGGTTTACGTGTAGAAAACCAGCTCACCAGCTCACCCTGTGTTCTTTAAGTAGTTTTTAAATCGTTTTCAAGTACTATTAGACATTATCGTCATTCATATCATGTTGAAAATTGGGAATCGAATAGTAAATATCTGGGAGTGATCTTTATCTTCTTGTGTAGTCTATGTGTTTGTGCTCAAAAAATGAGGAGATAATTTTACCTTTTACCTGAGTACATGATGATACATCTTCATTACAAGAGATGATAAATTTATTGATGTAAGAATGGAATAGGAAAGAAAATATTTTTTTTAAAGAACAAAAAAATTTCGAAACTTGAAATTTTCTAGTTGGTTTAGGTTTGTCTCTCCTTTTGTGCCTTTGTTAATCCAGTCACGAAATTCAACTTACCTCTTTTCAAGTATTATATCATTTTTCATGATAAATATCATCAAGATGAATGTGTCAGAAAACTATTTTATATAACTGTTCATATCGATAGATTCTGTTCAGTAGGTGGTACATTATGTTTTCTTATTTTTGACATGATATACATCAGATTAATACCCGAGAAAAAGGTGAAAACAAAACCTATCATGGTGATTAGTGTAAACATGATACAGTTTTCATCTGAAAATGCCTTGAGCAAGAAATGAAAAAACTTCCAATGATCAACTATCAAAAAGTTAGAATGATCCATGAAATTACAATACGAGATTAACTCATGACTTTTATCTGAATTTATAAATCTAAATGAACTTTATTCAGACAGTTTCTGTTTTTCTGATGGTGAACAATGATTCATGATCATTCAGAGGGAAGATAATGATGAGGTAATTAATGATTAGACAAATTTCTCAACTAATTATCTGTAATCATGGACAAAAAAGTTTCTCATCAATTGAAATTAACTGAATACTTGATCCAGATGATTGAGTTAATCAATTATTACTTAATCACGGTAATCAATCATTTGCATTGATGTATAATTGATAAGAAAAATGTTTAAACTTGAATCAGTTTCATGATGGAACTATTAATATTTCAATAATTAACTTTATTAACTCAAATTGAAATAACCAAAGCCATTTCCTGATTCGTATCAAGAATCATAATTTAAGTTAAATAATCAACAATTCAATGGTGATATTATCATAACATTAAATAGTTTCACTGAATAAGCAGAAAAAAATTGAACCAAATGAGAGTTGATGTTAATAAGATGAAGGAAGGGAAAAAAGTTCACATGGAATTCATGAAAGTAAATATAATATTTATCATTATCAATCCCTCTCTCAGAGTTTCCAGAACTTTTCCTTCCCCCCTGAGTTCATGGTGAAAAGAACATTGTATTCCATTCCAGGTTTTGGTGTTTATATTATTAAGTAGCAACTCTTTTTAATGATGATAAAGATTATATTGAAATTATTAAATAAAGTGAGAAAAGTATAATGAACATTGGGTCGTATAAATGAACATGAAACAGGAAGTTGAATAAAACCATGAGGATAAAGTTTAGTAAATTGTAATAGTAATCTAATTAATAGAAACTCTTTTCATTTTTGTTTCTCATATTTTGCTGTTTTAATTGTTCTTGTTAATTGTGTTGTCTTTTTCTGATTAAATAGGTTTAGTTAAATTACAACAAATATTGAGTTTAATCAATGAAAATTATACCCTTGAGCTAAGGGCAGTTAAACGAATTCATAATGCTACTGATGCTCACGCCTTTCTGGCCTCTATTGAGATGGCTGACCCTGAATCCCGGAAGTACGTTGTACTGGACTGTGATGCGATGACCGCTAAAGATATTATTGTCACCCATGTGAGAGATATTTACATGGGAAGAAGAAATTTTCACTTTTTATTAACGAGTCTTGTAAGTGACAATAAGAAGGTAGCACGAGGTTGGATTTTCGAAAATTTTGAAATTTTTTTTCTTTTGTTTCTCATTCTGACCTCTCTTAAGGTTATGGACGATTTTTTCAATAAACATGTACTCGAATTTGGTGCAGTTAATATTACCGGTTTCCGGATCCTCCAAACTTACGGTGATGAGTATAAACGTTTCTTTCAAAGTATCAAACTCTTGGGACTGGTCAATAAGTCAATCGATGACGAGGGCAGTTTATCTGTAGGTTGCGTCAATTTAATTTTCGAAAACTGTTCCAGCCTAGTTTTGGACTAATTTTTTCATTTTCCTTCCACTTGTATACACAGGTCGATTCTGCGTTGATGCTCGATGGGACTCGAGTTATTTTGGACACTTTGAACCGTTTACTTCGTAAAAAGCCTGATATTTTTCGTAACAATTTTCGCCGTGGTCAAGTTTACAATAATGGGTCAAGGGGAATCGATTGTAAAATGCAACCACTAATCCCATGGGAACACGGTAAAGAAATAGCTCGATACATGCAAAAGGTCAGAATAATCATGATAATAAAAAGTTCACCTTCTTAATTTGGCCGCTTGTTCAATTTTTTTACTAGACAAATATAACGGGATTAACTGGTAATTTGTCATTCGATGAAAATGGTTTTCGTAACAACTTCAAGATTGACATTGTTCGTATGACAATCAACAGTGTCATGACAAAGGTAAGAAACATGGTAATCAGTGAACATGAGATGATATAAATTAGGAATTGGAAATTATCATGGATTCCATTTCAAATTTACCATTCCAATTATATCTAAATGTCAACTACATCCTTAAGTTAAACAGTAACTTTCTCATCAAAATTATCTACATCATCGTCTCATCATTCATAATCAACTGTCAAAACCCATGAACATTTCATCATAGTCATGAAGATGATGATGTTGCTTGATAATATCCATCATGATAATAATACTATTGCAATGATAACTTTAGATATTTCCTCCTTTATCATTGAGAATTGACCATTTGGACAGAACCACAATGTCCAAATCATATGATAGCAATGATAATAATCACCAATGGGAATTATATTTCTGCCATTTGATATTTTCCTCCATTCATTTATTATTATTATATTAATACTTTCATCAGACTCATCATCTTGTTGTGATTAACAATTTGATAAAATGAACTTAATGGTCTGTCCATTTGATAATGAACATAATTTACTAATCATGTCTGATATTTACTCTTGAACACATCATAATAGTCATAATACCTTTCCAAACATTATTATCTGACCATTGGTCTCTACTTACACAAATATCAATAAATATTAGATTGCTGATTGGACTCCGTCCAGAAGTGTCAACTTAATACCAACTAAGTACCAACGGATACCCAAAGATCAAGTAGCTGTTAATAAGACTTATATTGTTACGAGTATATTGGTAAGTGTTTCAATAAGTATTCGGGTTATATTGAGGGTTATCGGGTTCTAATAAAAGGTCACTTCTTTTTTTTGTGTCTTCTCTTTTAGGAGGAACCTTACCTAATGGTCAGGAAAGCGGAAAAGGGAGTCTCTTATGAGGGAAACGAAATGTTTGAAGGTTATTGTAAAGATTTAGCTGATTTGATTAGTGAAAAAATGGGAATCAATTATACGTTACAAATTGTTAAGGATAAAAAATACGGTGGAATTGATCCTAAATCGGAGGCAGGTTGGAATGGGATGGTTGGTGAATTAATCAGAAAGGTAAGTGGTCACTTTTTCTCTCTTGAAAATTGGAAATAAGTAAAATTTGTAATTCAATTTGTTTCTTACTCTATGATTATGTTGATGATAATCGATTCAATTTATTAACTGAATTTATCATTGAACTGCAACTTCCGTTTCCTATTAACATTTTCAATCAATTTTCTATTGAACATTTTCTAATGGTAAAATGTATATAAATATTTAGCCTTTTTACTGAGGGTCAAGCAGAGAGAGAGAGAGAGAGAGAGAGAGAGAGAGAGAGAGAGAGAGAGAGAGAGAGAGAGAGAGAGAGACAAAATGATGATGATGGTAATCGCTGTGATCTTAATGTTTTATAATCAATGATGCTGAACTTTTCTCTCCTCTTTTTCTCTTGTTTCACTGAACTTTTTGGGATACGAATACACACATTAATATACATGCAGGAAGCGGATATGGCGATCGCTCCATTGACCATAACATCAGCTCGTGAGAGGGTTATCGATTTTACCAAGCCTTTTATGTCCCTTGGAATAAGTATAATGATTAAAAAGCCCGCGAAAAAAAATCCTGGTATTTTTAGCTTCATGAATCCATTGAGCCAAGAAATCTGGATGTGTATTATTTTATCTTACATCGGTGTTTCTGTTGTACTTTTCTTGGTTTCTCGTTTCTCTCCCCATGAATGGAGATACGAGGAAACACTGACCGGGCCCTCGGTGACAAATGATTTTTCATTATATAATAGCCTTTGGTTTTCTCTTGGTGCCATTATGCAGCAAAGCTGTGATGTCTGCCCTAGGTGGGTTAAAATTATCCTTTCCATCATCATGATCATCAATATTTATCCTCTCTCTAAACCTAAATTCATCAGCTGATTAGCCAAAGGATGAAATTAGCAGGAGTTAATTTGCATTTTCATGTTTTCCTTAAGCTTAATGATTAGTTTCACTTTTCCCTGTGATTTTCAGACAATGATAATTTAATTACTTGCAATGATTTAATTTGAATTAGTTGTCACTGGTAAAAGTATTGTATTATAAATATACTGAATTTAGATGTCACAATTAAGTTACAACTGAGGTAAAAAAAACAAAATGCTACTAATTAAATTGCTAATTAAATTGACATTACCTTTATATTGGCTTAATCTTGCTCATCAACATTTTCCACTCTTTTAGTTACAATTTATTAGTTGATTAGATTCTCTCGTTAATTACCCTAAGGTGCTGATTACACTGATACTCTATCAGATTACAATCATTGATCATCATTAATTCCCAATTTATTAATATCTTCAACTCCCACGTCTAATTTTGTGTCATTCACAACAATTTTTTCCTCCACTACGTTACATTAAATCCCTCAGTCTCTCTCAATCTCCCTCACTCTCCATGAATACCAAGAAATGAATTCACCATTGATAGAATTCAGTAGCGTCGATAAATAGACAATAAGTCAGGGTGTGGTTCTTGATGATTACAGCATTTCTCAGATTATTTTTGATCATCTTAAGTTTTACCTTTGCAACGATTCATCATCATTACCCTAAAATGATAATAATGGTGATGATGATGATAGAAGAGCTGAAGAAATAACTATAAGAATATTAGTAACCATGATAACCCAACTCCCACTGTAAGTGTTTCCCTCCTCCATTGGAACTTTATTGTTATTTATCTTACCCACCTTTCATTTCCCACCTTCCATCTCATCAATCTTCAGTCTGATAATCACCATAACCATTAGATTTGAAATCATTTATCAATTTCCACATGATGATCATTTGTATTCGGAAGGAGGTAGAAAAATGAATATACAGATATTTTCACATCTTTATCAAATTAATATCTTGACAATTAATTCTGTTCGTCTTGGCTAATGATAATCTACAGTTTAAGTCAAAAGAACAGAGAAACACAAAATCCTGTAATCATCCTGTATGAATATTTAGTTTTAATCCAACTAGGACACTCTATCCATCATTTAGTTGACATAATGCATCTTGAGATAATCAAAGAATCTTGAAATTAGATTAAATATATTATTATAATGATAAATTGAAACAAAGTTTCTGTTACCTTTAACCTCCTCTTACCTGGTCAAAGGTAATGGTCAAGAGTTACAGGTAATGTGTATGTAAATATACCGGGTTGATGAGGTTAACAAGGTAGAGAAACTTTTTCAAGGTGAAATTTACTACTCAAATGAAAATTTCATCTTGGACTTGGGCTTGGACTTTGGATTATTAAATTTAGATTTAAATTATTTTCTCTCTTTTTTTTGATCAAATAAATACCCTTAGGTCCATCTCAGGTCGTATTGTCGGCGGAGCTTGGTGGTTTTTCACCTTGATTGTCATCTCATCTTACACCGCCAATCTCGCCGCTTTCCTTACGGTTGAACGTATGGTAACACCGATTAACTCTGCTGATGATCTGGCAAAACAAACGGAAGTTGAATATGGAGCTTTGAGAGATTCATCAACTCAAGAGTTTTTCAAGGTAATTAATTGATCATCAATTTTTAATTAGCATACAAATTGAAAATCAATTGCAATATCAAACTCCCATTGTCAAAAACATTCAAACCCTTTAACTATTACATGAGTATTATATTAAATAGTTATCACTATTTAATTGACATTATCAACATTATGCAAATTTCTAATTATTTGCAAATGATTACTACTAATTGTTCAATTAATTTACATGATAATTGAGTTTATCTTTATCCTCCTTCATTACGAAATTACTTCAGCATCTACTAGTTGTTACTTTTTTTCATGAAGAAAAAAATAATAATAATAACGATAATGATTCTTATCGTGATAGTAATTTACTCATCTTATTTTCACCTTATTCTTACCATCTCATTATTACTTTTTGAAACTGCTTAAGATGTTGGTGATTATCATGACGATAATAATAATGATTCTGGTAGATACACTTACGAGTATAAAAATACCATTAAACTCAATAGTACTGATCAATTTCTTACAATATTTTCACTCTTAGAATTGCGATATTTGACTTTAAATGCATATTATTATTACTTTCACTATTACTATAGTATATTCTCATAACCAAGAACTAATTCTGCTACAATGAAACGTTTAGTGAATTATTATCTGGTCAGTTTCTGAGATTCTCCCAAATGTATTGAATGTAACGATGAAGGTGAAGATAATAATAAAAGGACAATAATAACAATCAGTAAATGGTTGTTACCTCAGATTATCATGGAATTTTTCCCCAGTGCTACCTGTTCTAGACATAAGAAGGTCTTGTACATGACATCTTGATTTTTTCTTCTGAAGTAAATCTCTATAATGTTTACCATAAGCATTTAGCTTTTTGACGCAAAAATTTTCATCAACTCAAAATGTAATAGTAGTTGTAACGTTTATTTTTGTGACGGTTTTAAGTAAGACAAAGGACAATGTACACCAAATTTTTGTTTTGAGTTAAGAGTTGGAACTTTGTGTATTTTTAGGGCCACAAATATGAAGTCCAAATTTTTTCTGATCTGATCAATAGTTGTCGAGAAAATCGAAGTAGTAAAAAAGGCGGACAGTGTTTCCGGAAGCTGCAGTACCGACCACTAGCCAAACTGTACCGACTATTGCCGCTTTTAAAGGTAATGATGTCGGTGGTCGTAACTTCCGGAAACACTTGCACTTGCCCGTGCTTGCGGCACTTGCTTTCCGGAAATAAATTTTTCTTGGTGAAATTGTTTGATTGTTTTTTTATAAAATTTTTCCGTTTTCTTTCATCATCACACCTTATAACTAATTTTCTTTCTCTTTTTAATAAATAGATCTTATGTTTTAAGTGTGATAAAATTATGGAATAAAATTAGGTTGTAAGCTATGAAGTAAATAATTTCATCAAAGTTTAATTTAAAGTGAGCTACATCAAAATTCTAAGATATATTCATATTAAATGAAAGGAAGGACTCAAATGTTAGTGCGGCCAGCTAAGCGATTAATTTCTTTAAACAAATAGTCATTATATTCTATCAACTTCTATCTATCTTGACAAGATCCTCCATAGATGAACTTTCAATTCGCTAAACCTCGACCAACGAATTTAACCGGTTAACCAATTCGTCTCTTACCGTTGCAATAAATTCAGTCAAAGCGAGATTATGACGAGAGTAGTAATAAACTGCTGGCTTTGGCTCATTTCATGAGCCAAAGTTCAGCATCTTTATAATCTTTATAATTTTCATCCAAGTTGATTACGTAGGTTTTAGGTTTTGTTGTTAGATGTGGTAAACGATCAATTGGATACACACCACCAAACCATTTATATTTTTTAACGAATTGTTTATATCTATACTATTAAGCATTTTAATAATCTATTGTTATCTGTCTATCTTTATCTATCGTTATCAAATTATCATATTGTCCAAAGATAATAGCTTTGATAGATTTATCTAATGTCGCAGAGACTGTTTCCTTGAGAGAGAGAGAGAAAACCGATTGATTCAGAGAGAGAGAGAAAACCGATTGATTCAGAGAGAGAGAGAGAGAGATCTATTCACTTACTTTTCCCTTGTTTAGTTGGATACTCAGCGTAAAATGTAAATAAAAAATGTAAGTAAATTACGGTGATGATAGTAAATACGATTGGATTTTTAATCACAAAAATGATTAAACGTATGCACAAATTTAACTTTAACAATTCAAAAAAGTTAACAAAACTTTAACACTCAAATGAGTCCAAAGAGCGTAGCGATTCGAATGATTTTGTTGTGAACAAAATCATCCTTTATATACGAGATTTTTACTCACAAAATCGTTAATCAAATCAAAATTAATAAGATTTAGATCATTCTGTCTGAAGTTATATCCTGTAACCTCAAGACAGAATGTTCTAAATCTTATTAATTTTGATTTAATTAACGATTTTGTGAGTGAAAGTCAAGCAAGTATAAAGCGGGTCAAAATACCCCCCAAGAAATAGAAAAAATTATAATTAAAATGACATAATAAACTGCTGGTATTTAGCTCACGATAGTGAGCTAAAGCCAGCAGTCTCGAGCTATGGAGCTGGTGAGGTCAAGTTTACCATTCAATTGTATATTGTCCTGGACAAGCATGTGCAAAATTGAATTCATGTTCATCAGAACTGAATTAATACCTTCAAACTTATCATCTACTGATGACTTGGCACATAAAGATAAATCATTTAGGGATGATGTTGTAGCGCAAGAACCATAATGACTGTCTTCCTGATCTCTCTTTACTACCCTTTTATTTAAAAAATGTGTTGAAATTAGATTTAATACTTTCTACCGATAACTTCAGGTTATTGAACAATTGCACCAAGAAAAATTTGTTTTTGGACGTTGCAAGTGTAACGTAAAAAGTTACTTGATGAGTGATAAATGAATTAAATGATACCGTGTAGATAACTTTAACTAAAACAATTTAACTTTATTGTCCAATAGTTGATTAAATGATTGTGATGAATTACACAGAATATTGGAATGGGTTAACTTAATTAAAAGGGTGATGACAAAGTGAAATCTATTAGAATGGTTAACTTGAATGTTATGATGATTCTAATTGAAGTGAAGTTTCACTGTGTAGATAATCTTGTTTTATACAAGATTATCAGGAGTCTAAACGATTCGTGAGTCGGATATTTAGTCATCTTTGTCGGTTAGTAGAAAATAATAATTGTGGTTAATAATTATGGTCCAAATATAGTAATAGTCATATTTGGAAGAATACATTAATTATGAAAGGAAGTATCCAATTAAGGTTTAATTAGTTATTGGTTATTGAAGATTATAAACGGATATATCCTTAGAGAGATTATAGTCGGATATGAATGATGGGACTAAAATTTACGTTACATGTCCCCCGACTAGAAGTTGAAACAGTCCCTTGTTTCAGTTACTGTTCTTACAGAGTCGTGGATCCTTATGAATTTTAGTTTCAGAGGATGTTGATCGCCAATTTGATGAAGATGAACTGTCACATGTTGGACTACGAACTGCGAACTTTCGTTCACGTTTAAGTTTTTGGCAATTTTGTCGAATATGACCGGGTTTATTGCAGAAGTAACATATAAGCTTTCGTTCTGTTGGCTCTTTCGATTGAAGCCTAGAGAGATGACGAGCGTTTTCAACTAGTGTACTCGCTATATCCAAGATGATATCGATGGTAACGTATCCAGATGTTCCATTTTCTTGTTGTGACTTCATAATTTTATGACAAATTTCGTCTGGTGAAGTTAAGAAGGGTGATTTTGGCTTGTTTAACAGCTCCTTCTTTTTATCTTGGTTGTAGATGTTTGGAGTAAAGTCTTTGGCCAATCTTTCTTTAGCTTCTTGCCAATTGTGAGGGAAGTTGTCATTTCCAGAATATTCTTCTTTGAATAGAAGTTTGGCTACTCCAGTTAGGAATTCAGAAAATTTGATCAGTCGATCTTGATCTGACCAGCCAATAATAGTTGTAATTTGTTCGTAATCACTTAGCCAATCTTTAACTGAAGGTTCGAATCCATCAAACAATGGGACGTGCACATTAACACTTATCATTTTGCTGAGACTCATGATGAAGTTGGTAAGAGATGATCAACTAATATAAACTAATTGGTGATAATCACTGGGTGAAGATGGATTACTGTTGTATTATTTACTGTTGAGGAGCACTGGGTGATGTTTACTGGATTGTAGATTTTGATTAAGTGAAGATAACAATGGTTCACTGATTGTTTTTATACTGAGTTTGACTGAAGGAGACGGAAAAGACTCCTATGATGATTAACGGTGATTGTGACAAAACAGGTACTTATATGGATAAGCGGAAATAATTTCCAAGTTTGGTGTGTTTGAATTTACCGGGAAGTCGATGCTAACGCACCGTAGATGGAGCTCATGGGAAACATATGGTGAATCAAAACAATCAACAAAGTATATATTTTTTTTGTGATTATTCTTTTGTTTTTTATATTTTTGTGCATCAATATTTTTAATTAGCTTTTTATATATTCGTGCTCGTCTCAATATGAGGATTCTGATGATGGTCACTTTTTCAATTTTGGTCTTCGGATTCGTCTCGGGTGAGTGTTTTTATTTTTTAATTATTGTTATTCTTTCTTTTTGATGGCTCCCTCGTTAGCTCCCTAAAAACTTAGAAGATTTATTGTAATAGTCAGATAGAAAAATTTTTTTTCTAGACGAATCTTTTTATGGAACCCGTGCCGCCATCTATCGTTTTTGATTTAAATCACTTTTTTGAAAATTTCTTTTAAGTTTGATTTTGATGTTTCTGGTGATTTACTAATGAAATTTTCGTCCTGTTTTTCTTTTTATTGTTAGTTTTTGCAGCCGATGAGGTTGATAACAATTCAGGTGGGTCTGGCCAGGTCGAAATGTCATCAACAACACCAGTTAATAATCGAGTCCCGAATAAGGATATGGCCAATAAGCAAGTTGATGGACATGACTCTGAGGATAGTTTTGATTTACCAACTACACCGGGGATAGTTCCAGATCCAAATGATGATGGTCAGTTATCAGTCGATATGAATGTTGCTGACGAAGGGAATGCTGATAGTAACGAAAATGGTGATGGTAACAATGTTGGTAATGATGATGGTAATAATGGTGGTAATGGTGATGGTAATAATGGCGGTAATGGTGATGGTAATGGTGGTAATGGTGATGGTAATAATGGTGGTGATGGTGATGGTAATGGTGGTAATGGTGATCGGACGAGCGATGGTTTTGAAAGTTGCGTAAGCTCGGCTTCCAGTAGTAGTAGTAGTACCAGAAGAAAACGTAAGAAGTCACGAAAAGAGAGAAGGCAAGTTCCAAAAGCATCGATTCGTTATAATAGTGTTTTAGATGCAACTGCCGAGATAAAGGTACACAATTATTCCGTTCGTCCAGATGGTAAAGTTCTCGTTGGAGGCGATTATGGTAAATTTATAGCTGAGGTCGAAAGAATAACGAATTTTGATAGAGAAAAGACAGTCGAAATTTCGCCGGAGGAGCAAGTTACTTGGGCAAAAGATTCAAGTAACGAGAAAGGTAAAACCATAACTGAGCAGGAAAAGGAGGCCAAGGAGCGACTTGAGAAGTATCCAGTTTTATTTGGGTGTATATATTGTAAAACCAATTTCACAAAGTTATGGATGTTAAAGGATCATGTGTATGGTAAAGATTATGGTGATGCGCGAAAATATGCGTGCATAGTTCGATGTACTGAAGAGGAATTGAATCGTACTAGCATCCCGAAAACTTCGGTTCCAAAAAGGTTTCCTTGGGGAGATCTTATTTGCGTTAATCCTAAGCTCTGGACTAAGACATCTACAGGTCGGACGTCATTTAAGGTTCCACCAAATATAAGGAAAACGTGGGTTGAGGGAATGGTAGATGAACGGGATAAATCATTGGTTGGTAAGAGAGGAAGACCAAGGAAATCAACATCAACTACTCCTAGTGAGTAACTTATCAATAACAGTAAGTAAAATTGATTTTTAATATTATATACTTTTTGTTAGTAAATTCGAGTTTTGGCCACCTCGTCATACCTCGTTCTGATTATGGGTCATGATATATATTTTCTGAAAGGGCAAGGTCTGAACTATCTAATTTTATTTTTGTTGATTTTTAAACTGAAAAGGGGCGGAGTCATAGATGGTCAAAAAATGGTATCAAATTTAACTTTTTCTAATGAAAACTTTTTTTTTTTTATGTTTAGGATACAAAAAATGGAAGGAAAAAAAAATCTCAAGTGGCCTTAATTCTTATTTTAATCATATATTTTACTTAACTTTAAATATTAATGTTTTTCTCTTTTTTTTGTAATCTCTATTTTATTCTAATTACTACTAATTCTAATGTTTTAATTTTTTTTGTAATCTTTAATTTTATTATGACTTAATAATTTCGCATTGTAATAGCAAGTTTTGAACTTTTGTATTTTCTAATAATAATTATCCTTCCATATTAAAAGCCTTGTTTTATTGAATGTTTTAATGATTGTGGTTTCCTCAATTATTGATAGACTTCTGATCGTTAGTTAACGGAAATTAATGATTACTCTTTTTACTACGGAAATTGATAATTCTAAATAAGGAGTTTTAATGATTATCCTGGCTTAATTGATTTTGTGAGGTATAAAAGGAAAATCTTCTTTTAATCAATTATCATTAAAAGTTATTCTTTTGTTAAGTTGAATTCAATTAATCAAACTCTTTTCTTTTGTGTTAATCTCTAGCTGGTTTATTATGGGTAAGTTTTTTTTTCTAATATTAAATCTTATTTTTATTTCTTTTTTTATATATAATTTTAATTTCTTATCTAGATAACGCTATTCGACTGTTGATTTCTACATTGGAATGGAACTCTGTCTGGGAAAAAGAACATGTTCCTATTGGTTTGCTCTTGCGAAAATGGACGGAATTAACTGGGTGTCGTTTTCCTGGTCAAGAGGAGGGTATGAAGCGGTTGTAGATTACCTCAACTCGATCGAAGGGGTCGAAGTATATGAAAAATTTTACGTTCGACTCATTTGTCAATCATATGCTTGTGGAGTCATATATACTGCTAATACTGTCAAATCTTGGTGAGAAGTTTATTTCTCTCATTATTGATAATAAAAAGAAGATTTGATTCCTCTGATTCTTTTCTGTTATTAGACCCCTTTTTTTTTTACTGATGGTGACGATGATCATGATGATGATGATGATGATGATGATGATGAGGGTGATGAAGATGTTGATGTTGGTGACGATGTTGTTCAAAATTTGAATAAAATGACGGGTTTCTTAGTTGTTATTTCTGTTGAATCTTGTTCGGTATCAAGATTATTTAGTGGTAGTTCTTCTTTAGGATCTTTTGTATCATCTTTCGTTGATTTAGTTTTATATCGGCGAATAATAGTTTGGATTTTTGGGTAAATGTATCGGTAGATAAGGAAGATTATAATGATTAAAGTAATTAAGATTGAGATAATAAGTGATGTTAAATAAGTAGGATTGCTACTCAGAATAATACTGAATGTTTCGTTTTTGAATTCCAGTTTTTCTAGAAGTTGTGTGTGTACTTGACCGGCTGAAAAGTAATGATTTATGGCATCTAAATCGGATTGTTGAAAACCGGATTTATATTTGAAATGGAGTTTGAAAAACTCATGGGTTTCATTGTTGATAACAAGCTTAACATCTTTTGGGAATGAAAAGACCCAATTAGGACAATCGAATTCTTCATCGGCTATTGTTATTTTATAACCAAAGCAATAGATGTACCTGCCATTTGAAGTGGTTTTGATTTGCAAGTCGTTAAAAGAGTTTTCACATCGTGAAGTTTTCCATGAATTTTCAGAATTTGATTTGTTCATTTTACACTTGAAGTTATTATCAATAACTATGGGTCCTTTCTGGATTGCTCGATTTTGGATGTCACAAACTCTTTTTTCTTTGATGTGAAAGAGAACGTAAGTAGGTCCAACATAATAAACACAATTATTATCTTTTGTCTTTAACCAAAAGGGGTCAGCCTCGGTTATCATATAGTTGTCATTTCGTCGGAAACCGTGAATTGAAAATTTTAAAGTTGATGTTTCGGTGTTAAAATGACATGATTGGACTGTCATCAGTTCAACAGGGTATCTGAATTCGTCTTCGATAGAAATATTAAGTAAATTGAACATTTGAGGACTTACTTTAGATTGTTGCATTTCTTTAAATATGTCAACCAATTGTATTTTTAGGGTGGTAAAATAATTGGCTATTCCTGTAGCTGATAAGATGGTTGGTAATATCGAGTTTTCTAATTCGTCGATTCTTATTGTGTTGTTGTTGATACGTGCGATGGCTTTATCTATTGCAGCACTGATTTCATTTACTTTGCTTTCCAATTTTGCCATGTTTATCTTTGTATTACCAATTTCTGATTCTAGCTTCTTTGTCTTGTCCGAAAAGGTTTTTACAATTCCGAAAGCAGCTATTCCTACAAACACGAGAGTTGAAGCAGTTAATATAATCTCTCGTTTAGGTCTCATCACTCGGGTATCACAATATTTTACGATAGTTTTTGTCGTGCTTTCGTGGTACTGATTATTACACCAATCTCGGAAATCTTTACGCTTTTGTTCTGGAAGTTTAAGTGATTTAGAAAGTAAGGGACAGGTGTTGACTAGTGAGATCTCAGATAAGATTTCTCCTTCCATATCGATGACGGGTTTGTTTGATTTTTGCCATAAGAGAGGATTCATGACGTTGAAATCGGCGTTAGTTTGAAGTGGAACGAGACACGCTAAAGTAAGAAGAAGGCCAGTCAAACCAGCACTTGTCGAGCGAGTTACTCTTTTTCCGTCTGATATTTTCTTGCTGTAGACTTGGGTGGCGAGAAGTCGGGATCTCGTTGTATTTTTCTTCTAGGAGAAGGTTCCTCTTCTGTGAATTCGTCAACGAATCTTACTCTTTTTGATAAAGGGATCGTTTTTTCCTTTGGTGTTGTAACTTCTTGAGATCGTTCTTGACAAACTGGACAATTGCTATCAATGGAACTATCGTGATCTGTGGTTGAATTAGTTGAGAAAGAATTATCAAAAATAATTCTTTTAGGGTTTTCTACTGTAAATGTTCTGTTATTTGCGGGTGTACTACAGGTTGGTCCATTTCGAGTTTCTGCAAAGTCTTGAGTATCATGCCAACTATCGTTTGTTGACTGTGATACGTCTTGGTTGATGGTGGTATGATCTAGATTAAATGTTAGATTTGGTCTAATCGTGATTGGAGTTGTGTTTTGTAATTGATCGATATTTTCTGTTCGGAGACGATAGTGTTTCAGTCGCTGTATGTTCACAGTTTGTCTCTTATTTGAGCCAATTTCTTGGACAACGTAGACTAGGTGGGAAGGTTTCTCGATGATGACATATGGGCCGTGATATTTATGAAGTAATTTCTTAACTAATCCAGTTGTAGTTGGATTAGGATAATACACAAGGACTAGATCACCAATTTCAAATTCTTTGTCTTTATGTTTTGAATTGTAGTCATCAAGATTCTTTGACCGAGACTCTTCCATGTTGTTGAAGACAAATTCTCTTAATTTAGGCCAAGTATCTTTGATGAATTTAACACGTTCTTCTTCACTGTAAGTTGGTGTATCAATTGGGACGTTTGTTTCATCAGGAGTTAGGGCTTTTCTTCCGTACAAGAGTTCGAATGGTGACATTTTTGTACTCGCGTGTGTTGAGATGTTATAAGCAAACGTAACATAAGGTAAATACTCGTCCCAATCGTTGTGATATTCATTTACATACATTGATAACATTGATGCAAGGTTTGAATTAACACGTTCAACTTGACCATTTGATTGTGGATGATAAGGGGTGGTGAAACAATGTTTAATGTGATGTTCTTCAGTAAGCTCTTTAATTAATTTACTGGTAAAATTGGTTCCATTGTCGGAAACCAAAAAGGTGGGTGCTCCATGTCGACAGAAAATTTGTTGTTTTATGAATTTAGCGGTATTTTGAGCTGATGGAGATGCGATTGCGGCAGTTTCCATATATTTAGTGAAAGAATCGACGGCGGCAATGATGTATTTTTTACCGTGAGCCTTATTAAGTGGTCCCAGAATGTCTATATGCACTCGTTCGAATGGGTAGGTAGCGATAAGTGGCTTCAAAAGTCCTGTTTCTCTTTCCCGTGGGTGTTTTTTTGTTTGGCAAAGGAAACAAGTAGAGACATAATTATTGATATAGCTGGTCATTCCGGACCAATAGTAGGCACTTCTTATTTTTTCATAGGTTTTTATTATTCCTTGGTGACCTGCATAGACGGAATCATGGTGAATTCGACAAATTTCTTTCCTTAGTGTTTTTGGTACAACCAATAGGTTAAGAACTTGTTGTTCCTTCCAGACTTTACGATACAATAACTCATCTTTTATGATGAATTTCTCCAGCTTTTTCTTTCTTTTGTTCGAAAGAGAATCATGATTTTTAATGTTCTCTATCATGCTCGTACAGAAATTGTCTTTCGATTGTTCCATTTTGAAAGTGTCCAGGTTTAATTCAAGTTGAACAGTGAATGCGTGGACACGATCTTCATAATCTGATGTTTCTTCTGGTTGACCAGTTGGATACCTACTTAAACAATCCACGTCAGCGTGATGTTTACCACTTTTATATTCGATTATCATGTCGAATTCCTGAAGTAGTAAAGCCCAGCGAGTGAGTCGAGGTGGTAGTTTTCGTTTGGATTGTAGAAAAGAAAGAGCACAATGATCCGTCACTACTTTGAATGTCTTTTGATCTAAATAAATTTTGAATTTTTCAATTGCAAAGATAATTGCGAGACATTCCTTTTCAGAGATTGGATAATTTAACTCGTGTGTGTTCATTTGTCTACTAGCGAAAGCTACTGGTCTCCAGTTTTCACCATGTTTTTGTAGTAGAGCTGCGCCAACTCCAGTGCCAGAAGCATCAGTTCTAACTTCGATCGGTAGATCCGATTGGTAGTGAGCTAAGACTGGAGCGTTTACCATAGCATCTCTAAGGGTATTGAAAGCATCTTGTTGAGGTTGATTCCATTGAAATGGGACATCTTGTTTCGTTAGGTGTGTCAATGGTTTAGCTATGGTGGCGAAATTTTTGATGAACTTTCGATAATAACCACAGAATGCCACAAATGATTTGACATCTTTGACACATTTAGGAATTGGAAAGTTTTTTACGGCTTCAATTTTTGAATCTTCTGGGTATTGTCCATCTTTAGTAATTTTATAACCAAGATAGGTTACTTCTGGAATTGCAAACATACTTTTCGATGGATTTAATTTTAATCCCGCAT